CGGTCCATGCCATGGCCGGACTGCAACCGAAGGAGGAGAAGGAGGACAGCTCCGACAAGGACAGCTCCGGCGACAAGCAGATCCGGCTCGATTCGTACTGCGTCTTCGACTGGTACTTCCGCAAGAAGAACGATGAGGGCGCTGTGAAGGGCAAGGACAGTCGTGGATGAACTCCACCATAGCCAAACATGCCAAATTTTGGTAGTCCGATGGCATGTTTACTATAGTGTGATGTAGTAGCCAGACGATGCGTGTGCGTTGATGTAGTTGCATGAGTTTGTATGGATTTGAGATGAGGCGCAGGATTTGCCAAGTCCAGTTGTAGATGCTCTAATTCATTTTGTGTTGATAAAATTAATGGTCAAAGTCAGATATAAAAATATGAAGTGACCATGATAAAATTAAGGGAACGAAGGGAGTAATGGGATTGAACACCATGATCACCAGACTAAAGCTGCTATCTTATTCAGAGCTTTCAGAGATAGATTAGGAAGCACATTTGAAACACAAAACCTCCTACTCCTGGATGCTTTGCTGCAACACAATACTGAAGAACTGGAGGCTCCTTTTACTAAGGAAGGGAAATATGATGTTATTAAGAATATGCCAAATGATAAGGCTCCTGGACCTGATGGCTTCAATGTTGCATTCCTTAAAGCATGTTGGGATATTATTGCTCCTGACTTCTACAAAATGATTGAATATTTCCACTAAGGGGATATAAATATGAAAAGCATCAATTACTCTTTCATTACTCCAATCCCCTGAAAGTACTCTACAACTGCACCTGAAGATTTCAGATCTATCTCTCTACTCAACTGCACCCTAAAGATCATCCCAAGATACTAGCAAAAAAATACAAAAAACATGTTCTCAGAATGGTACACAAGAATCAATATGGATTTCTGAACAAGTGTCTTCAAGACTGTTTGGCATGGTCTTTTGAATATATGCATCAATGTCACTAGTCAAATAAGGAGAACATTCAGCGGGCATTGAAAAGGCATTTGACTTTGAAAAGGCATTTTACATTATATTTGATATCATGTCTGCTCAAGGCTTTGGTCACAAACGGCTTCAATGGACCAAGATGAATTATATCATTCGCTTCTCTTCGGTTCTACTGAATGGATTACCTAGCAAACAATTCCTTTGCAAAAGATGAGTCGGGCAAGAAGACCTTCTCCTTCCATTGATTTTTGTACTGGCTACTAATCTACAACAATATATGTTCAATGATCCTATGCATAAGAACTTGCCTGAGCCACCACTTCAACACACCTCATGTCCTGATTTCCCAATTTTACAATATACAGATGACACAATCCTTGTTCTACCTACAGTGGATGCCTTATACATCACATCAGAAATTTATTGCTTCGTTATATGTTGCATACACTGGTCTCAAGGTCAACTACTCCAAGTCCCTCATGATCCCGATCAATATCAGTGATGATATTAAAGGACAATACAAATAACTCATGAATATATAGATAAATAATATCATCACATGATTTCCTCTAGGGCATGTTTCCAACATATGAGTCCAATTTTTGTGATAATTTCTGCCATTAATTTCGTTCCGTAGCTTAGGATCCTTAGGATTTTATCACAACCGTGTACCTTCTTTTGTATGTTTTCACCAGGATACTTTGCACGAGAACTATTTGGCGTCTAAGGAAAGAAGGCCAATTGATGGTAATGAATCACATTAATTAATGTGATATCACTCTACCATACAAAGGTGGCATATGATGGAGAAGAAACAGCTCACACAGAAGGCTCCAGAGCCAAAGACGTTGTATGGTACGAGCACACATGCTCGTACCAGCGGTCATACTGCGTAACGCCGCCTATTCTTGGTTAAGTACTTCGTCCCGTGCAATTGGATCGGCGAGGGAATGAAGACATCTAGAAACACACCCAGAACGAAGAACACTAGCCTCCAGAGGGATTACGGATGGGGAATTGACCCAAGAACTCCGCCGCCGCAACACCGCATCAAGAGGGTATAAATACCAGACTGCTTTAGCTGCGCCACGAGGAGACCCTTAATTACTGTTTGGTAACAGGAGTGGGGATGAATGATAGTGGGTGTGTATGATACGGGGTTGCTACATGTATGCCCACAGTTGTACCTGGCTCCTCCCACAAAAAGAAACATATAAAGTGGCTTTGGAATTTGACCTAGAATTATGCTCAGGCATCGATCGTGTTAGATACATGCTGGTGGGGAATCCAGACTCCATGGGAACGTTTTAGTCCTAAACTGTTACTCATGCCTCGCGCTACTTAATTTTACTTTTACAGTTTACATTTTCGTTCATTACAATCACTCAATATTTTCAACAGTTTTTCAATTTGCTTTGAATAACAATTAACTTGCAGGATCTATTATTTAAACTCTATGAGAGACAAAGATCGATTCATGTGATCCCTATGCACTTGCATGATATCACAATGCAGCCCCCATCCACGTCTTTGCTATAGTAGACGAACTGCACATAGCCGCTGGAGGAGCAACGAAGGCCGATGAGCGGTCGATAGCACGCGCGGTAGCCTCGTACAGAAACAGGAAAGGAGACTTCAGAGTCATTGGTAACTAAACGGGTCCATTCCACACACACACACACCCCTCACGCGTCAAGCTGTCGAGCCAGTGTCGATGGGGCTCATCATTGGCGGAGCAAGGATTGAGACAACGCAGTGGTGGAGCGGAATCAGTGAGACCAAAGCGACTGTCATATAGTGATGTGTGAATGAGATTTGGACGATTAGGGGAGAGAGGGTGGGGGTTATGGCGGATTCGAGATGTCCCGCTCGTCTCCCGTGCTTCCGCAGGCATGCAGGTTAGGGGCACGTGTGGCTCGCTGGATCCTGGCTTTGAAAAAATGTCTCATTCGGTCATTCCCCCTCGTCTAGGCCTAGGGGTGCTTTGAGGTTCATGCGGGCCATAAATATGATGCAGCCTAGACAGCCAAACATGCCAAAGTTGCATCGCCAAGGACTGGTTGAGCTGGATGCAGACTACCAAATACGTCATAAGTGAGTGATTCCCACTGCTTCTAATTATCATATATTGTGTGCTTCAACGTTATCAAAATTATTGTAGCCGCTAGAGTATTCGCTTGATCCACTAGCATCCGTCCGATCTACGCATGAAAATCTTGGACCATGCAACATGAATTAGTGCATTTAAAATGGACTTTGAATCACATTGTATTTAATTACGACGTGCACTACTTTTCATGTTAGAATTTCTTTTACTTATGTAGAAATTCTCACATAGTTGAAATCATAAGGATTGAATTACTACCTCTATTCCAAATTATATGATGTTTTGCATATTTCAGTATGAACTACATACAGACTCAAATGAGTCAATGAACACACTAAAATGCGTTTACATACATCCAGTTCAAAAAAAAAAGTTTGAACATCTTATAATTTGGAATGAAGGGAGTAGTATTCTACACAATATTTAGAAGCTATATATCCAGTTCTACAACAATGTGTGGGTGCCATCTAGTAGATCTAATTTAGAGGCTCGATGACATTAAAGCATCTCCAACGCGGGCACTAAACCGCTTGCAACCGTCCGAACCAAGCGTGTCAGGACATGTTTTGCCATCCAACGCGGTACCACATCGGCCCGTGGACCGGCCCGGACTTCTATTTTCACACAAAACAGAGGCAAACGAAGGGAGCTTTGCAGGAGTCTGGACCACTGCCACACGCGCATCCGACAACCCAGTCCCACCTGAAAACCCTCCCGCCCGAAAAACCCTCCTACACGAAGCGGTCGTCGTGCATTCGTATCGGTTAGCATCACTTGAGAGCGGACTTGGCGGACCGGCATTGATGCCGGTCAGAGCGACGCGACCGGACGAGCGAGTGGCGCCGCTTCAATCGAGACGTGGTGAACGAGAAGCCTACTCCGTCTGCTTCACCGCGTTGAAGCCATCATCCAGTCCCTTACCTGACCGCCGCACCTATTTAACCAGGATTCCGGCTCTGTCCGCACCGAACTGCTCTTCGATCCTCTCCACTCCTCTCCGCTCCGGCGCCGGCGACACCATCATTTCCACACCATGCCCAAGTCGTGGTTCTCCACGTTGGTAGGCGGCGGCGGCTCTGAATCGTTGCGTCGCCACCGTTGCTCTCCGAGCATGTCTTCCTCAGCGGTCGTCGCAGCAGCCACGCCTCCTTTCCGCACTTGCCGCCGCGGGGCAACGTGAAGGAGGAGCCGAACTCCTCGCCGCACTACTGCGTGAAGCAGGAGTAGGCGTCGCCTCTCTGCCGCGTAAAGGCGCGAAGTAGGTCTTTCTTAAGTCTTTAGCGAAACGGGTGAAATATTGTTTGTTTTATGTAAACTATGTCCGAAATATGCTGGATTCCGTTGTGTTTGATGAAATTTATCCAGTGTATTTAAATTTATTTTAAAATGAATGCGGACACGGTTCGATAACCGGCTCCCACTGTTTCACATCACTGTCCGGGAATTGATCCTTATGAGTCCGCGGACGGATACCGTGTCTGATTTAGGGCTCAGGGCCCTTGATTCTCCTACTTGTGAATAAGGGAAGCATGAACACCCGTTCTTGCATGTACAGCAGTACCCCATATTTTTCGTTCTTCTTTTGCCGGCAAATATGCCCCATTTGAGAGTCCACCTGATGAGCCGGCCGGGGATAAGGTGCGATCCACGGTGGATCGAAAACCATTCTCATCAGTACATTCTTAGAAGGTTCCCTCGCCAAGCTAAAGCCTACCCTATCCTGCCCTAGGGTTACAGAATCTTCCAACGCATGCGCCCAACACACTCATAAAGGCGGGGCGCCACGTCACTCGCATGCCCCACCGAAAACCCAACGCAGACGCAACGTCGGACACACCGAGAGCCGCTCCGTCGCGCTCCATTCCGTTCCATCCCACGGCCTGCTGAAATATAAAACCAACGGCGCTCCTCGATCGCATCGACGGACCAGACAACAGCGATCATGAGCCGCATACACCCCAACGCGGAGGCCTCCAGGCGTCTCCTGCGACACGGCGCCGGCGCCGGCGCGGCTGCCTCGGCGGCGTGCTACACGGTCTGGATGAGGTCCAGCATGGGCTTCCAGGGCACCGACGGCTTCTCCGTCTACGACGCCGGGGGCGAGCTGGCCTTCCGCGTCGACAACTACTCCCGCCGCCGGAAGATCTTCGCCGGCGAGCTCACGCTCATGGACGGCCACGGCGCGCCGCTCCTCTCCCTCAGGCCGCAGGTCAGGTTCTTCCCATTCGACGAATTTCAAAGAGACGATTGTTGGCTTCATCTCTTATCTCGGCGCCGGGGTTTTAGTTTTGTTAAACAATCTAGGGGTTTGATCGAATCGACTGAACCTCTGATGGACGCACACAACATATTCGTGCTATTGCCTCCACGAGCTGCCTGTGACACATCCACCGGCTAGTTGTTTGGGACGCATGCCGTTTCAATTTTGAATTCATAACGTACACAACTGAAAATGAGTAGAAGAAAAACCGACCCTCGTTTCCTGTCTGCACTGTGCTCTGTCAATTTCTTCGGTCTTGTAATATAACAGCAGAACACATCTGAAACTTTGCATCCTATCTGCACTGGAGCCGCTCCCAATTTCTTCATACAGTAGTTTGCAATGTTCTTACGGCAGTGATTTTACCAACATCTATAGCAGACCAATAAATTGATAAAACAAGAATGTGGGTTTTGTACGTTGTAACCCCATTTCCTGTCTCATTTTGGGGAGGAATTTCAATGAAAACAACGACAACTAGTTGGAGTAACAGCTGACAGAGTTCCGTTGTGCCGTAACAGATCATCAGCATGCACGACCAATGGAACTGCTACAAAGCACCAGAAGAAGGCCAAGCAAAGAGGGCAAGATCACAGCAGCTCTTCTCGGTGAGGAAATGCTCGGTCCTGCAGAACAACCGTGAAGCAGAAGTTTACATGTCTTCAGCCTGCACCACCACCACCACCACCACCACCACCGACGCATCAGCATCAGACCATGGCACCACTGGCCACCAGTCCCCAGGCTTCTGGATCGAGGGCTGCTTCCGGAGGAGAAACTGCAAGATCCGCAGGGCCCATGACGGCAAAGAGGTGGCGAGGATCGCGAGGAAGAAGGCGAGGACAGCTGCGACGCCTGACACGGCGCCCCTGACGCTCGGCGAGGACGTCTTCAGCCTCGTGGTGCAACCGGACGCCGATTGCACGATGATCATGGCCCTCGTCGTCGTTCTGGACCGGATCTGCTGGAGGCCATACACGCCGTTGATATGTTCTTCGTAGCCCGCGCTGAGTCGATGATCAACGAACCTCTGTTCGTTTTACACAGGGGAAATGTAGATGCTTTTTTTTCAGTTCTTCAAGTGACTGTCGCCGGAAGCAAGTAAGAGCCAGTGGAGATGAAGTGTTGTTCAGTTAGTTGCAGCTGAGGGTTGGCTGAAAGCCTGATCTAACTTGTAGTAAAACTTGGAACAAAGTTCTGACATGCAGCACTGCAGTGCATCAAAATGAAATCCCAACAATATGAATCTCGGACTTGAAATGCCTGTACCATTAATCTGCAGATTATTGTTCATACATGACGGTGCCATGTTAATGGGCCACCTAGTGTTAGTTGCACCGTCAGAGAAAGTGCCAAGGACGGTATAGAAGACAAAATGACCAAAGTTTGTCGAATCTCAGCCGAGAAGCCTGTGTCTGCTGTGCCATCTTTTCAGTGCCTATTGCATGATTTGCATCTCCTTACATCTGCGATCCCCGTCAGGATGATTCGGAATATGACGGAAATATACTGCAGAAAGGGAGATTTTGCATTTGGGCGTAATGGGGATCTTATTTTTACAGAATGTCAGAAGAATCGAGAAGAAGGACGAAATTGAGGGAATACTGCCGTAATGGTTAGCTGTCTTGTCTTCGCAGTCCTTTCGTATCTAAGCTACTACTTTTGACAAGTTAGCTGGATGCACAATGCAACATGGCAGTGATGAAGGGTTCTGCTTCTTGTTAATGTTTGAATATAGCTGGCGTTTTATACATCAGTACAACCATGCATCTCATTCTGCTAATGTTGAATGTGTATGTAAGTTCAGAAATTACTATACTATAAAATATATTTTTAGGGCCTGATTGGATCGTCGTTTCACAGGGACATACACTTGTAAAATATACACAGCTCCGTCCGTTGTTTTTGTTCCAGGTGGAAATCACGCTGTGGCCTGTGAAATACACCTGTAAAATAATACGGGTGTAAAATCTTACAGCCATACCAAGCGGAGCCTTAGTTGGAATTATACTATAAAATATTGTTCAGGCTAATACAATCCATTATTTTACCTTACTTAAAATCTAAGTAATTTTTCACGTATCAGAGTTGTACAGTTTTTGAGTGCGTGATCAGGTATTTATAAAAAGAGAAAAATATACTTTTCGTCCCTCAACTCTTGGTGAACTCTAGATTTGGTCTTGATTACAATATAATTAACCTCTTGATTACAATACTCACTCTGATTCATAATATAAGGATAATTAGATTTTGTGCCACTCTAACTTTTGTCTTTTTCGTTGTTGTTGAGAAGTTAACATCTTTTGGTTTGATCCTCACAAAAAAAACATCTTTTGGTTTGAACATCAATTAATATCACTAGATTTGACATGAAACATATTTTCATAATATATACTACTCCCTCCGTCCCATAATGTAAGACGTTTTTTGGCACTACATTAGTGTCAAAAAAACATCTTACATTATGGGACGGAGGGAGTAGTAAATATTTTCTGAAACAACATAGTTTTCTTTAACATTTGTGGTTTAAGTGTTACTCTGGATACCATGTCAATATCATAACAAATTATTGTGAATCATATAAACCATTTTTTTCATAATTGCAGTTAGTACTTACTCCTTTTTTCACAAGTGGTACTCTGAAAATAGGTTGTATTTGCTATTGAGGTGGTTTATGATAATCTAGTTTTTCCCATCATTTGTGGTCTTTATTGAAGAAAGGGTAGACGCCCTGGATTTCATTTCACCGAAATCAACAATAACAACAAAATCTAGAGGGTAAACAAGGGCGCCATTAGAATGTACCGACGGAGAAAACAACACACGTCGAACCATTAATGGACCAACAGGCTTAATTATGGAGCAACCAATTACAACATGCCAACATTCAGGCTAGCCCTGTCTATATTCACTCCCGGGCTATCCAAAGGATCTCTCGAAAGTTGTTCTCCAAGTGAATGATGCAGCAATCCAAGGTTGCTATATACTTTCACCGGGCACAACTTCCTCTAGCAGTGCAAGCGTTGCGCCAACAATGCCCAAAGTCTGGCGCATTACCGGCCCTGAAAGGAGTAACTCAGTTTCCATAGTGGCACAATAAGGTTCAGAAGGCGGCAGCGGATGAGTCCAAAATTGTGCCAAGAATTCAAAGCCAGGGTTGATCACTATGTAAGTTACGGATAAACTCCCAATACATGGTCACACCGAGCACTCAAAATACAAATGTGAGACAGATTCTTAAGCAGGGCAAGACAGGCAGGTTTTATCATTGACATGCTAGCACTTACATGTATTGGAAGCTTGGATGGCACACATATATACAGAATGGAGCCGGATCCTCTAACTTACAGAAGCAAAGTCATGGTGCTACAGTGCTATTTTAGTGTAAAATGAAGAAGGAATGTTAGAGACGTTTAGCAGATTATTTACTATTGGTACTTGCTGTAGATAAAAATTATCTATAATTGTTTTTAGGGACATTTACATCTATGCCCTTAACTCAAACCCACTACTCAGTTTTGCCCCTAATTTTTAGGTATGCTCAGTTTTGCCCCTCCGCCGTTAGTGTCACTTATAGAAATGTCCTTTTGCGCCGTTACCGTCTGGTCAAAGGACTTTGACCACCCAGAAAAAAATAGCAAAAAAAATCAAAAAAATCTGAAAGTTTGTGGGATCGAAGATAGTCATGTCCACAAGGCGCGTGCAAATTTGTGTGCCGTTCGGACACCCTGGGAGCTCGTGGCAATGGAGATCATAAATTTTGTACGCATGTGAACAGTAAATTCAGAAAAATAGAAAAAAATCAAAAAAATATGAGATTTTGTGGGACTGAAGATACTTAGGTGCACAAAATGTGTGCACATTTTTGTTGTGTTTGGACATCGTAGGAGCTCACGGAGAAAAAAACAAAGTTTAGCTCCTACGAGCTCCTACGGGCTCCTACGATGTGCAAACACAACAAAAATGTGCACCCATCTTGTGCACCTAATTATCTTCAGTCCCCCAAAATTTCAGATTTTTTTGATTTTTTTTGCTATTTTTTTCTGGGTGGTCAAAGTCCTTTGACCAGACGGTAACGGCGCAAAAGGGCATTTCTATAAGTGATACTAACGGCGGAGGGGCAAAACTGAGCATACCTAAAATTTAGGGGCAAAACTGAGTAGTGGGTTCGAGTTAGGGGCAGAACTAGAATTGGCCCTTTTTTTATTTCACCATCAATTTGTTTGCATGTAACGATCATAAATGTACACATCAAATCTGTAATTTGCAAGTTAATTTAAGTCACTTTAGCCTTAAATAAATGGACTGAAAGAAGGCAAGTTAGGGTATTGTAGCTTATCTAACATTCCTTAATGTTAGAGGATCCAGTGTGCAATGGGTATCCTCTGAAAATTAAACATGTTATAGAGTGGTTTCACCGTAAAGACACATTCACTGTGAAGCATCCAAACCAATGTATTAGGGCATGAGTCAATTATACAGTTTGCATGATCATCATAAGATCGTCCTGCCATTGCATAATTAGGGGAACAATATCGCCTTAAGGAATCACAGAATATGCAGAAGAAATCCTTGTCATCTTCTATATCTGAATAGTAGCCTTCATTGATTTATTTCTCTTAGTATGCAAGCATGTCACATCAGCATTCAACATGCGTGAGAAAAATCTCACCTCAACACGCAACATGCATAGAAAAAAGCTGACGTAAACATGCAAACATTCATAAGAATTTTCATTCTATCATGCTATTCATATTTAATAAATATTTTACAGCTATGCATAATCAAACAGAATAAATCATATATCTTTTAGTTTTGGTTCTCATATTATTACTCCAAATATTCATCCTGTGTATAACCAAATCTTATTGAAATGTATTACAAAACATTTCCGCAACAACGTGAGTATCATTAGTTTGATAGAATTGAGAAATCCCAGAAGAAATAGATAGGGCAAAGACCAAGCCAATTGTCTATCCGAAACCGATTGTTCCGCTTTACCCAGGTTGCCATCTTTAACCAACCGTCACAGCGGAACCCTAAGTATCGTTTTCCCCCCGAAATCCTTTCTGATGGATCAATTTCCCCCCAAAGTCTAAAACCGGATCAATCAGCCCCTAAACTCTCCAAAACCGGATCAATTCTCCCCCATGGTGGTTTTGCACCAGATTTAGGTGGTTTTGACTAGTCTCCTTGCTGACTGGACAGTGCTGACTTGGCAGATGCAACTTTCCCCAATTTATAATTGCAAGCCGCTCCCTCGCCGCGAAGCACTCTGTCGCCCCCTCGCCGCCCCATCGCCGTCCCCTCGCCGCCCCATCGCCGTCCCCTCG